CTCCCCCTGTCGTCAAAGTAGGTCTCCAAGAGGGGACGGGGTAGAGAAGTCACCCAGAAAGGAGAGACAGCAACGAGGGAGCTCCCCCCATTCACGAAATGAAACCAGCGGGGCACCATGCCCGTTGAGTTTTTTGATTTTCGTTGGGAATAAACCGATGACTAAAGTGGATTCGATTATCCACGATCCAAATGTGGCGGTCGAGTTTGCTTGACAAATTTTTTTGCCTGAAGTCCAGCAATCAATGGTTGGTCGGCCTAATTACGAAATTTTTCGGGAGGGTGTCCATGGAGCGGTAAAGGGACTATACACCTCTTATGAAATTGGCATGTGTCTTCGTGTCGCGCAAAGAGAGACAGAGCAGAAAGACAGCCGCATTCGGAGCTTAGAACATCGCACAGAAAAAGCCGAGAACGAGCTGAAAAAAGCTAAGTCTTCCGAAACACAGTCGGTGAGCCAAACGAACCTGATTGTGGCAGAGAGAGTAAACCAGTGCCTTCTGGATCATGCAATTGCTGACGAAGATACGGCGAGCATGTTCGCAAGAGAAGTGATAAGAACGAAGGCCTATGAACAAGGCTTTTTTGACAGTTGAAAAATTGGTAAGGAAAAGACAAAGGAAAAGTTAGCTGTTGATGTCTGTCGATGCGAAAATCGGGGATTTAAGAATGGATGGATTAAGGCTCTGCAGGCCGCGGTATTAATTCGGCGTCACCTCTATACCAGAATTTCAAGTTTTCATTCGAAGCTTACGACGCTGAGAAAACCGACAATGAAGAGGATGTCAAGCTGGGGAAGACTTAGATATCAATACACATTATTGTACTTTTGAATTCTTCAAAAGCCATGTATTTGTACTTCTTTGGTGAAATAAATATTTGTTATATTGTTTTGTTTAATGTTTGTGTCTGCTTGTGATAAATGTATGATGATCCATGCCATTCTATTGTCAAATATAAAGGTCTTTCTGAATTCGGAGGACTACTTGGCCGTTTGTGATTCTGCACAAGGCGCTCTCTGAATTCGGAGTTCTTTTGTGTTGGCTGATTGTGATACATGAAGGGCGCTCCGAATTCGGTGGCTTATTCGGCTCAAACGTGACATCCACGAATGGGGCTCCGAATTCAGAGTCTTTTTGTGCTGGCCAATCATGATATCCACGAAGGGCGCTCCGAATTCAGAGGCTTATTCGGCCCAAACGTGACATCCATGAATGGGGCTCCGAATTCGGAGTCTTTTTGTGCTGACCAATCATGATACATGAAGGGCGCTCTGAATTCGGAGGCTTATTCGGCCCAAACATGATATCCATGAAAGACGGTTCGAATTCGGAGTCTTTGTGTTGGCCAATCGTGTCACACGAAGGGCGCTTCGAATTCGGAGGCTTATTTAGCCCAAACGTGATATCCACGAAGGGCGCTCTAAATTTGGAGGCTCTAAATTTGGAGGCTCTGTGTTGGCCAATCGTGTCATTCATGAAGGGCGCTCCGAATCTGGAGGCTTATTCGGCCCAAACGTGATATCCACGAACAACACTCTGAATTCGGAGGCTTTGTGTTGGCCAATCGTGTCATTCACGAAGGGCACTCCGAATCTAGAGGCTTATTCGGCCCAAATGTGATATCCACGAAAGGCGCTCCGAATTCAGAGGCTTTGTGTTAGCCAATCGTGTCATTCACGAAGAGCACTCCGAAATTGAAGACTTAATCGGCCCAAACCTGATATCCACGAAGGGCGCGCCGAATTCGGAGGCTTATTCAGCCCAAATGTGATATCCACGAAGGGCGCTCTGAATTGGGAGGCTTTGTGTTGGTCAATCGTGTCATTCACAAAGGGCGCTCCGAATTCAGAGGTTTTTTCATCATTCTACCATTATTAACGAGAGGTTGACAAAAAAGGGAAATGCATTACGGAATTTGTAGACTAGTGCATGTTAGCATATTAACAAAAATTAGAAACAAACTAGCACGTCGTACAAGTTGGCTTAATGATAAAATTTACACAAGTGTGTGAAATTCCAAGGTCGTGGTAAACTTCTGCCAGCCATGTCCAAAAGCCGGTACGCCCCTGTTCCGGCAATTGAATCAATCTGATAAGGGCCATCCCAGTTGGGGCCTAATTTTCCATCTGCTGAATTCTTAGTAGCATGAAGCACTTTCTTGAGGACCAGTTCTCCAGGTGTATAACGCCATAGCTGCACTCACTGGTTATACGACTTAGCAAGCTGTTGCTGATATCGCACCATGCACGCAATAGCGCGATCTCGGCGTTCTTCAATCAGAGTCAAATCTAGGGCAAACATCATATCATTATGGGCCATGTCAAAAACCTTGGATTTCAATGTGGGTAGGTCGATCTCAAGGGGGATAATTGCCTGTGTTCCAAAGCATAAAGCGAACGGCGTTTCCCTAGTAGATTGTCTTGGAGTAGTGCGATGAGCCTACAACACACTGGGCAATTCTTCGACCCATCTGCCTTTGGCTTTTTCCAGTCGTTTCTTGATGCCATCCAAGATCACTTTATTGGAAGCCTCCGCCTGACCGTTGCTTTGTGGTATGCTGGCAAGAAAAAGTAGGACCATATACCATATGTGTTGCATAATTCTCGATAGGCACCACAATCAAATTGGGTACCGTTGTCTGAGATAAGTGCTCTTGGTATGCCGAATCGTGTTATGATGTTTTTCCATACAAAACGTTTAACAACAACATCTTAAATATGTGTTAGTGCCTTTACTTCGACCCACTTTGTGAAATAATCTGTTGCGACAATCAGGAATCGCTTGTTCCCTAAAGCCCGTGGTAATGGTCCGACGATATCGAGTCCCCATTGAGCGACGACCAAGGACTAGTAATGGAGTTTAGTTCTTCGGCAGACAGATGAGTTAAAGGAGAAAACTTCTGGCATTGTTCGTACTTCTTTATGTAGTTCTCGGCATCTGATCGCATGGTCGGCCAATAGTATCCTTGTGTTACGGCTCGATAGGCCAATGAGCGTCCTCTAGAATGGGTGCCACAACTACCCTCATGTATTTCGGCCAGGAGTTCCTCAATTTTGTCTGGGTGAACGCATTCCAAGTACGGCCCAGAGAGAGATTTTTTGTAAAGCTTTCCCCACGGATCCAAGTAGTATCACAAGGCTTTATTTCGCAACTTGTGGGCTTCTTTCTTATCCATTGGGAGCTGTTCTGATAAAAGGAATGCGGTGATAAGGTCCATCCAACTAGGTCCTGGTTCAATGATGTTAACCTGAACTGGTTCAGAAGAGGTGATGCTCGGTTCTGGGATGAACCCTACTTCGATTGTTCATTTGATTTCTGAGTTGATGGCCGAGGCTACGCAAGCAAGGGCATCTGTATGTGTGTTCTGATCCGGGGTTATCTGATTTATGGTGATCGAATTTCGTGAGCAAGGAATTTTCCGTTTTCATGTAGGTTGCCATGCGGTCATTTTTGGTTACATATTCCCCTTTCAGCTAGTTGATGACTAATTTCGAGTCACAGAAGACAAGCAACCGCCGTGTACCAAGGTGAAGTGCGTTACGAAGGCCGGTTATCAATGCTTCGTATTTGGCCTCATTATTTGATGCATCAAAGCCCAGTTTGACTGCCTGCTCAATTATTGCTCCTTCGGGGGTCATGATTACTACTCCTACCCCGTTATCACGTTGATTGGAAGATCCGTCACAATACAGCTACCAAATGTCCCCAACATATATTTGCTATTCAGATTTAGGTTGCACTTGATTGGATTTGAGGTCGGCATGGCATCCCTTAAACTCGGCTACAAAGTCGGCAAGCACTTGGCCTTTGATGGCGGTTCTAGGCAAAAACTGGATATCATATTGGCCGAGTTCCAAAGCCCACTTTGAGACCCGCCCTAATGCTTCTGCACTGGGCAGCGCTGACCGGAGGGGATAGTTTGTTAATACCCCTATGGTGTGAGCTTGAAAATAGTACATCAATTTTCTTGCAGCCACCACGAGAGCAAGGATGAGCTTTCCTAATGGTAGATATCACATTTCGGCGTCGACCATGGCCTTGCTTACATAATAAATTGGTCGTTGTTCCCTGAGTTCTTCTTTTAGTAGCACATGACTGACCGCTCGATCAGATATTGCCAGATACAAGAGAAGCGGATCGCCTGCCGATGGAGTTACCAAGAGTGGTACTGATCGGAGATAAGTTTTTAAGCCGTCTAGTGCAGCCTGGCACTCAGGAGTCCATTCAAACGCTTTACCCTTCCGAAGTATATAAAAAAAGTGTTGGCAGCGATCTGATAAACGACTGATAAACCTATTCAGCGCGGCGGCCATTCCCATCAACTTCTAAACTTCTTTGACCGATCTAGGGGAGCCGAGTTCTAGAATTGCTATGATCTGCCTTAGATTGGCCTCTATTCCGCAATGGTTGACAATGTAGCCAAGAAATTTGCCGGATCCAATGCTGAATGAGCATTTCGAGGCGTTCAGTTTCATCTTGTACTTTCGAAGAATGCTAAAGGTCTTTGATAAATCAGCTAAATGGGAGTGCTTTTCCTTGGACTTCACCATCATGTCATCGATGTACTTCTATGGTATGGCTGAGTTGTTCCTTGAACATAGTGGTAACCAGTCTCTAGTAAGTTACCCCTACATTCTTCAGTCCGAAGGGCATAACCTTGTAGCAATAGGTTCCCCTTGGGGTGAGGAATGCTGTCTTTTCTTGATCTTCCAGGTGCATGGAAATTTGGTGATAACCCCTGTAGGCATCCAAGAAGCCCATGCGCTGATGATGTGCCGTTGCGTCCACAAGTTGGTCGATTCTGGGGAGAGGAAAACAATCCTTTGAACAGGCCTTGTTCAAATCTGTGAAATCAACACAAACGCACCAAGATCCATTTTTCTTCTTTACAACCATGGTATTGGACATCCCTGTAGGATTGGTGACTTCACAAATTGCCCGACATCAAGCAATTTGTTAACTTCATCAACAATGGCCGATGCATGCTCCGCGCTAACCGTCAACTTTTTTGAATGATTGGTTTGACTTTTGGATCAACGTTTAAACGATACTGGGCCACAACTGGATCCACCCCCGGCATCTCGTACAGTGTCCATGGAAACACATCAAGGTTGTTGAATAAGAAGGATACCAGCTCACGTCTATCAACTTTGCTCAAGGAGGTGCCAATCATGAAGAATTTGTCAAGACTCCCATTGATTTCGATCCGATCAAGGTCTTCAATGGCCTTTTCGCTGGGGATTTTCCCAATATCTTCGAGGCTCTCTCGATCCGATACTTCAACTGAGTTTACTTCCAGTTCCTTTGGCTCCTTTGTAACAACAATAAGATAGCATGCCTGTGCTGATTTCTGAGAACCCCGAATTTTTTCGATGCCATACTCAGTTGGAAAACGAAGTAGCTGATGGTAGGTGCTCGGCATAGCCTGCATGGTATGTAACCAAGTTATTCCCATGATGAGATTGTATGGTGACGGGAGCTTAACGACTAGAAATTCTACATCCACCGATCTGGCACTTGCCTGTACTAGTAGTGTGATCTTACCCAAGGGATACTCAGGGTTGGCGTTGAAGTCGAACAATGGATAATCGGCTGGCAACAAATCCGAATCAGTGAAGTCGAGTTTAACAAACGTCTTGTAATACATTATTTCTGAAGTGCTTCTTTGATCGATGAGGATGCGCTGAACTGTGAATTTGTTCATTCGTAGCTCGACGACGAGGGGATCGGTGTGGGGGAGAGTTACTCCAGCTAAATCGATGTCATCAAAGCTAATCCTCCTAGTTTCATAGGGCCGTTTAGTTGGTGTGATTGGTTTGGGCACGCTAGGTTGCGACTGAACTGTATGTACCTCAACCGACAATGGTAGGCTGTATATCATGTGAATTATGCCGAGTGGTGGTGAATTCGGCTGTAGGGCTACCGTGTTTGATGGATTATTCTTCCGAACGTATTGCGCCAGCCGGCTGTCTTGTACCAACTCTTCCAGTTGATCCTTCAATGCATAACAGTTGTCGGTATCGTGGCCATGGTCCTTGTGATATTCGCATCGCTTATCCCTTCTCATTGTATCAAAAGGCCACATCATTTTGGACGACCATTTAAAGAACAGATGATGTTGGACTTTGGATAAGATCTTATCGATCAGCTCTGCCAATTTTGTGTACTTATTGTCTGAACGTCTTGTGCGCCTGTTATCCACTTGATATTTTTCGTTTGATCGGTGCGAACACTGATTGCTTGAACAACGCGAATCACGCATTTTGTCTTGTTTAGCCCAAGTTCGAGGTTCAGGGCTCCTTGATGGCACAACACTTACCGGCTGAACTGGACCAGACGGAGTTGATTTATCAACTTTACGTCCGGCCTTGACCCGCAGGGCATCGTCTTCCACTTTACAATATTCTTCAACTTTCTTCATTAACGCCCAAACTATTTTGGGAGGCCGTCTGGTCAATGAACTACGGAGAGGACTATTGGGATGTAGCCCCATCTTAAAGGCAATAATAGTCATGGAATCATTAAAGGTATCATCTACCAAGTTAAAACACTCCCAATAGCGCTGAATACTCACAGAGAGTCTCTTCTGGTTTAATTTGCATTGCCCAAAAAGAGTCGGCTTGCTTTGGCTTAACTTCGTTGGTAATAAATCTCGCCCTAAAGGATTTTTGGAGTTGATGAAAGCTTCTTATTGACGCTGGCTCCAATTTATAGTACCATCTGACAGCCAGCGGTCCCATGCTACTTGGAAATATTCGACACATGAGGGCTTCATCATCAACATGCAACGTCATCGCTTGTTTATAACGACGAATATGGTCGATGGGATCTGACTTTCCATCATATAAGGTGAATGACGTGCTTTGAACTTCTTGGGCAGCACCGCCCTTACGATGCATCGCACGAAAAGGTCATACCTATCTTCTTCATCCGAATCATCACTTTTTTTCCCTTGCGTGTGCCGTGCATACGGACTTCCTTCGGATGAGCTGGATACATTAACTCGTCCCTTCTTTCTAGGTTCTTGGGATGGTGAGTCAGAATCATTACCATTATCATGTTTCTGAAGTCGACGTCGTCGATCATCTTTCTTTCTCGGGGATCGACCCCGGTTATGACATGTGGCCTGTTGGGATTTGGCTAATTCCAGGGCCAATTCCTGGCGCAGACGCTCGTTTTTAGTCATCATATCTTCTAGACGTTGTTCATTTCACTTCGCTTGATCCACGATTGTCTGCATAGTCTCTTGCACTGAAGTTAAGGGTGAGGTCTGAGCTACTAGGTCGAAGTTCAAGGCCCGTCGCGAGATGATATTCTCCGGTCCAAGCGTGTTTCTTGGAGTGATGTCATCTCTTGGCGTAACGTCGTCAGCAACTACCGGAGGATCATCTGTTACGCCCGCCATGGATGCGCTTGAGTATTCCCACAGACAGCGCCAACTGTGGAGAAGTGGTTTGGAAATACTCCAGGATCCAGCTAGACGTCCTTAATCCTCTGATTGCTACCTAAAAAAGGGATAAACACTCCGGTTGAGGGTACCGGAATTAGCACTCCAACAAAGAAGTTAATATTCTCTCAAGTTTACTTCTATCTCACGTTCTTTTGTCTATTCTCACATACCTACTTTAGTTGACATTCCTCCCTTTTTATATTACCTCTGGGCCTGAGGGTCGGGCCCACTCTTGATCTTGCATGTAGTTACCTATTCGGCATCCCGACTTGTTTATTCGGCCTCATGTCTTTGGTCAAAGCCGAATTACTTTAGCCAGATGTCGATTAGAGTCAGTCTCTTCCTAATTTGCAACTATTCGGCCCCCACAATATTAAATTATAAGACATTAAAATAAACACTCATTTTTATATTAAAAATAATAGTTAAATTAGAAAGAGAATTAGTAATATAAAACTAAAAGTGATTCTAATTAATTTATTTTTAATTTTGTTTGGATAACAAAAATATGTAGTTATAGAATTACAAAAACTTTATTTAAAAGATTAAACATAAATATATTGTGATTGAATTAAGAAGAAATTACATAAATTAATTATGTTGAGTATTGATTTTTTTTTTAATATTATTTTGAATTATTCATACATATTGTGTATAGGTATATAAAATTTAAACTAAATATAAATATAAATATTTTGTAATAAATAATTGGAAAAATTAGTCCAAAGTCCATCTTCCATTTTTAGTAATGGAAAAGATTTACAATATTATTTTATGATGTCTAGGGTCCCTCAACTCCACACGCATTTATCACAGAGAAATTTAACTCTCTTAAATCAAACCTCATTTCTCTCTCTCTCTATCCAAACTCCTCTCTTGAAGTCTCCCTCACATCCCCAAACGATCTCGGTCGTCTCATCCCATAATTTCCATGACCTGGTCTCTCTCTTCTCTATTTACTCTCTCTCTCTCTCTCTCTCTACCATTGCTATCAGAGGATGACGATGCCTCCGTCTCCGTCGATCTTGTAACGCCCCAAAATAAATAACATAATCCATCTACAATATCAATAAATGACAACAACGATAAAGTAATTATCTTCCATTAAATCCAATTGAGTTTACAAAAAGGAAACATATATGGTATACATTCATAATGTCTGGCCCTGAATCTATAGCATATGTTGCGAACAAAAGAAAAAGAATGGAAGTTAAATATATAAGAAATGCCCTAAGGGCTTATAGCTTTCCAAGACGATGTTTGGTTACAACAAAAGTGGATTTAAATCCAATACAATTAAAGCCCTTGGCTTGTACAAAATAAATATAATAAATACACAAAAAGAAGCTCTTACTCGAAGTCCTCCCAAGCTATTACCTTGGTGGAGGTATATCATCAGCACCTAAAATGTTTTTCCCAAGTACGATGAGCCAAAGCTCAGTAGAAATAATCCAACGCAGTATATGAATCTTAATAAAGCTATAAGGTGAATGCATATATAATACTCGTGCCAAAACATTTTTATACCTCTTTCCAAAAATATGCAATGCCAAGTATATATATATATATTGATTCATAAATCATTTCCATTACAATAGAAAATGGGGTGGTGAATCACACTCTGGGAATGCCAAAACAATACAACCTTTCCCGAAAGTTTCGTTCGAAGAAAATCGTAAGCCAAGACCCATGTAAAAGTAGGCTATATAAGCACTACTATTGCTATTTCAAAAAATTTCGTCCGCGGGATCAGCACCCATGTATACGTGCGGTTTTCGAGACTTTCACTCAAGATACACATGCCAACTTATTTGATGTAACAATAATTCCTTTCCCAGATTCACCAATTTTCTCAAAATAGTAACATTTTCAATGTATAAGTATGAGATAATGCTCAATGCAACTGAATGAAAAAATAGTTTCAATTCTCCTAATTCACATACAATTTCTATAACACTCATAGATATCCTCTACTGATAGCCAAAAACAGATATTTCTAAACAGATAAACAATTATCAATAAAGATAAACTTTCTAAATTTTCAAGAGGTGAGTGATAATACATATCTAACTCTACCATACTCATCAACATCATCCTAATTTCACAATTCCAATATCAATCTCAAAATTTATACAAAATCAATATTTGAGGCATTTAGGACTGGAACGCCCCAAGAAAATACACAATAAAAGTATATCAAACTTTAGTACATGAATCTATAGCATGTAAAACATCTAATCAAACATAAATAAATGCCCTCAAGGGCTATCAAGTCCAAGGATTAAGCCCAGTTAAACAAAATGGTTACTTAAACCCATACAAATATAGCCCTTGGCTTGCAAAAAATATAATCACAACAAAACAAGAGCATTTTGCTCTCAACATTCACCTCTACGCCCTTAGTTCGGAGGAATCACCACATCTTTTCCTGCACAAAATTCCATAGGGTGAGCATAAAGCCCAATACGAAATTCTTAACAAAGTATATACATTTTACACAATTCTCATAAGATGAAATGTATATGCCATGCCATGCTTTTAAAAGAAGATCGCACCTTCGTCTTTTTGAAAACCATCATGTACAATGAAATCTTGAAAATTCAACAATTCAATAATTTTAAATCAAGTTCGAGGGGCGGTAAATATGACTCAGGTAATCCCTAGGTTGGTGTCTGCAAGTAGGCATAACTAGCACTACCAAAACCCCACTTTACCAGTAGCTAATTGGAGGCATGTGGTACCTCATCCGCACGTGTTTTCGGTCTTTCACCCTAGATACTCTGGCCAACTTAATCAATTTCATATACACCCCCTATCCAGACTTACCAACATATTTATCCCAAAAAAAACTGAATGAAATCTTGTTTCACAAACATTTCCCTTTTCAATGCAAAATTTTCAATTCTCGATTCAAAACTCGTAGTAACCAAATGAATTGAAATGTCAATGCAACATATATCAATGCATTATAATATTCTTCCACACAATTTTTCCATTTGTGATCACAATTCCCATCTCTCTTTCCAATGCAATTTCACAAGATAAACACATACTCATCAACCTTTATCGAGGAGCAACAACATTTCCACATTTCATGCATTTTTATCAACTTTCTCATTTCATGACTATATCAACATTTTGAATAACAACTTCGAAACCAACTAATTCTTATATAACATGGAGTTCCTTATGTCAACATTTGTCATAATATTGGTCAAATATCAATTTCATAACATCACCACATTTTCTAAAAAATTCCCAAATTCCTAGGGTTCCCATAACTAGGTTTCTTCCTCATTTTGAAAGAAATTATTTCAAGAAAACACTCCTCTACAACAATATAACTCAAAATCTCAAGGATTTTTAGAAAAATATTTTGGAAACCCACTTTGAAAGTCATTCACAACTCATGAGTCAAAACCCAAGTTCATTCACCACAAGAAAGAATCCCAATAACAACATAATTTGTAAAAATGTATATATAACTCAAAGAAAAAACCCTATCTCAAGTTCTTGAAGAAAAAAAAGAAAAGAAAACCCCAAAATCAATGATGTCGAAACCCAATCTCCACCGCACACAACGTAGCCCTCGAAGAGTTCTCCAACTTTGATAAAGGAACTAAGGTCAAAATGTTAATGAATTTGGAGAAATCAGGGATATTGTGAGGTTTGGTGTAGGAAAAGTAGAGAGAATGAGGAGAAATGTTCTTTTAGAGAGAGAGAGATGATGAAAAAGTGATATACACTTAGCCCAAGAAGAAAGAAAAAGCAAATTTTCAAACTCAGCTTTCTTCCGCACATGCGGCACCCATTCCCGTACATGCAGCACTCTCTTTCGCACGTGCGGCACTCACCCCCGCACATGCAATTCATCCTCTCGCACCTGACCTCCGCTCGTGCAATAAAAACAGTCTTGCACCATCGACACCCCTTCCTCTCCACACGTGCGACCTCACCTCCCGCACGTGCGGCCCCCTCTCCGCAGGTGCGAGCCAAGCCCCCCCACATGCGTTCCTGCCTTCCAGCCAGAAATTTTACCAGCT